TTCAAACTATTACTGTAAAAAAAAAAAAAAAAGATATCATTTGTTATATGTAAACATGACAGAATCTGATCTTCAGTAAGACAAACAGATTGAAACACTAAAAAAATAAAGGTTTATGTATTAAGTATTCTCTGATTTATTTTAAATAATACTGCTGTTAATAATAGTAACAATAATAATTGCAGGTAAAGGTATAGGACACATATTTCCCATATGGCAAAAATCTGTGTTGCAATCATGTGGTTACTGAAACATTTGTAAAAGCTGTTGAAAGGTCCATGCTATGTGAAATTGAATTTTCTTTATATTAACGTCTTACACAACCGGATATAAACTGAACCGCACTCTAAACTTTAAACAGTTCTATTTACTGACCCTGTTGTGTTCTTAGGATGTAAAACTAACAAAATATACAAAGTAACAACAGCGGAAAAACAGGGTAGTTTATAAAAACAACCGTAAAACCATCTTTTGAGGGTAGAACGTATTTTCTGTGTCTTACCTGCGGTGTAAAGTAAAACACCAAAGAGAATCGGAGGACGAGCCATGTGACAGTCAGAATGAGTAAAAGACAGAACCTGAAATGAACATTTCACTTCCTGCCAGACAGAAATAAACAGTTCCTGTTACTGTATTCACTGATATAAAAACTGAAGTTAGCAGAGACCTCACAGACAAATTCTGTGCACACACACTGCTAGATCATATCCTTATTGCAGTAATGGTCTGACACAAGAGTATTTGTGTAAATGTGCACAAGAATATACAATGTATCATAAATGTACAAAACAATGGCATGACTAATTAGCTTAGTGACCCTTCATTCATAATAAAAAGGGACATTTAATATAATATTTATATACTGTAGATCTGTTGGATGTGAATATGAATTAGACAGAACAGAACATATACAGAAGTTTATAGAGATGCATATTAAAACCATTCAGTGTGTCCAAATATGATGAAGTGGGTTAGTATTAACTGGCCATGTACAGTATATGTCATTATCTACAAGGTTTCGCAAAAGTCCAATGACAAATATTGTTGTTTTCTCTAGCAGTAGTTTTCTATGGTGTTTTCAAACACCTAGATCAGAACTTTTCAGTTAATTAGGGTAATGTTTGTATTTATGGAGTGCTGCAAGGCTCAGTATTAAGACCATTGCTTTTCGCTTACGGTATGTGCCTTTGGGAGAAATCAGTCAGGTTTAAAAGAGAATTAATATTCAGTAATATTATCAATTTAACAGCACTGAAACTATTGGAAACAACATTTGAACTAAAATGAGCTGGATAATAACACTAACTTCGCAACATCAACACTTATTTAACTGAACTGAATCAATATTGAATTGACAAACTGAATAATGACACTTGTCTTTTTTAGAGCTGCTTCTAGCGGAAATTAAATGAACTTAATTTGATGAATTTTGCAACACTGAACCAAACTGAGCTGAAAGACTATTCCTTTTAACTAGTCAGGTTCATATAGAGAGCATGTATTTGTTCAGGCATTAAACAGATTCTTAAAGGGTAGCTTTTCATGCTGAAGGACACTGAAATTTGGGACCCATCAAAATCAGTGTTTCCAGGCTTAAGAAAAGCCAAAAGACATACAACGCAAGAAATCGGGTCTTTGAACTCTCAAAAGAGAATGGAAAGAAATAAAAATTCAAAAGAACAAAGGGAAGCATTTTCTCCCACTTTGCCTTTTCATGCTTTTGTTTTTCAGAAACACACAATCCAACTCTCTCAATAAAGCTACGCTCACGCGTTCAACAGCCCCACACACAGCACAAGCCAACAAAATCTCTTCACACACTCCTTACCCGCTCCAGGAATCTGAGGTTTTTTATAGTTTCTAATTAACCTGAAACACCTGCTTCCACTAATTAGCTCAACCCACATAATTTGCCCATTAGAGCATTAAAGGACTGTAACATCCCTAACATCACCAGAAGAGGGAGACAGAGACTCTGCAGAGACTGAATTCTGCTGAAATCTACCAGATGTGGAGATATAGGCTGGTAAGACTTTTGTGTGTGACCCATAATGACTAATGGTGCGAATGCAATGAATAATCTTCACAAAACATGACATGCACAACAACAAGACAGTCTGAAAAAAAAAACCATGCCAAATTGTATGAATTTCTGCTGCTCAGGGAGTGTTGATTGAAGGTGAACATATTAAAATTGTCTAATATATAGTTTTTAAATATCTCAACTCAGTTCATTAAATGTAACATTTTGAAGTGTTAAAGATGGCAGTAGATATTCAGCCTGAGCATAGGGCCATAGCAGATACAGAAAAGATAGAAATTACTTTTGCAGAAGCCTAAAGGGCAGCAGGAGCCACAAAGGAACAGTTCAATATAAATCTATTATGAATACATTTTCTAACAAAATTCCTTAAACTTTTATAGAAATTGTTACAAAATGTATTATAATTTATGACTTTTCTTACAATATTTAAACATGTAAACAAATAACTTCTATAACATTACATTTCTTATGAACTTTCCTGTCTTCATTTCTTATATTTTTTCTTATTGAATATATACAACTATATTTCTTACAAAATTGTCTTAATTTCTTATATATTTTCTTATTGAGCTCATATAAAAATAATGATTTCTTACAAAACTGTCAAATTCTTATAGATTTTTTTGAGTATATATATATAAGTATAACTATATTTCTAACAAAATTGTCTTAACTTCTTATAGATTTACCTATTGAGTTATTTATTTATATATCTATATATCTATATACATATATATACATATGTATTGCTGCTTCAAGTCAAGGTGCCTGATGCTACCCGGACTTGCCAGCCCCGCACGACACTAAAGCCTAAGTGGAGAGATGGAAAGGCCACTCATGTCAGCCTGTCAGCTGACTGAAGACAGAAAACAGCAGGATGTCTGTGACACGAGTTGTCGTACTCCAAGACCTGAAACAAATAAGAAACCAGCGTTATTTGTCTAAACACATGTAGCGAATCAGCTCATGGGGAAATATGAATAATTAATATGTTTAGTGCAAAAAAGCTGCAAAAAGTTGACTTGTTTTGTTTATGGTGATTATATGATAAAACCAATAATGACAAAAAAAATAAAAAATAGCTAATCTTAGGCTCAGTACCTTAAACCAGTCATGGAGACGCATCTTCTCCCTGCTGTGGCTCATGCTCCAGACACGAGCAAATCATCTGGCAGCATTCTGTGCAAAAAGATGAGAGAGACGTTTCATTGTCTGCTTATACTTTCTAAAATACTTTTGTGTGATTTAGAACACAAACTGTCCTCCTTTGTTCTTTGATGAAAATCTCACCTCGTGACAGGCCAGGTCTGGTCCAGTTGTTCTCACTGATCAAGTGCAGGTCGTGGTATGTGGGATAATAGCCGCACACCATTTTAAACAGTAGGACCCCCAGTGACCACACCGTCATCGGTTTTGTGTGGTACCTGCCCTTCACATTGACCTCTGGTGGACAGTACGCTCTTGTGCCTGGAGGAAAGAGATGTTGTCTGTTATTTAATGCACTTTCACAACATGTTGACTATATATAGGATGCATTTCTGGGAGTTGATTAGCTACAGTTCAAACAGATACCACAAAAGAATTCGTAGGCAAATTTCTTCATGAGCGCAGCGCACTTGAAGTCAATCAATTTGACTTCCATGGTGTCCCAGTTCACCAGCAGGTTCTCCAGTTTGATGTCCCGATGGAAGACACTGTGCTTGCTGCAAACGATAGCGGCATCAATGACCTGCTGCATGACCTGTCGTGCCGTCGCTTCGTCGAGGCTTCCTCCGTGGAGCTTGACAAAGCTAGACAGGTCCATGCAAGGTGAGGGCCACTCCATGACCATGATGTAATGGTCTGTGTCATCCTGCCAGTCCAGCAGTTTAATGATTTGAGGAACGCTGGGGCCAGTATTGGCCATGAGCATCAGGCCAATTTCCATTGGGAGGCTTTCGGGATGACCAGGCTAAAAGAAAGAAAATGACACTGAGATGGCTTCCCAAATAAAGACTTATAGTCCACAAATCAAAAACAGCTTGCCTATAGTCAAAACTAATTTGTAGTCTGTGATTACCATGAATATATTATAAATACTCACCACTCTGATATATGGCATATTCGGTCCCTTTACTGAAAACTGCACAGCCACCTGATCAACAAAACAAAATTTAACAATTAGCATGTGCACAGAGGCCATATCACTCCAGCCATGAATCCTGAACAGAAAAACAAAGTTTTGCAAGTTTAAACAAACCCTGGCACACAAAGCCAAATCGTCCTTGACCCAACTTGTCACCGATTTTATAACGCAAGCGAATGTCACCTATTAAAAGTAACAATTGTAGTTAGTATAAAATACAATTGTATTTTATTATTTCAGAATTTATAACAACATTTTCCAATTCTCATTGGTTTATTATTCTTACCCTTGTCCACCACATCCTGCTCCAGCTGTTCCTCAGCAGCAGGGCCGACTTCAGAAGTTAGAACTATTATATGAATCAAATCCAATAAATGAGTAAAATATTGCACACAAGTTATAATAACACTTAATAAAATTATTCTCAGATGCTCTGATCAAATTTTTTTTAATTAACTTCATATATGATCTTTAACTGTTACTCTAATGACAGCATTGTTATAGGAGTGTTTTTTTTTTTGACAAAAAAAAATGTAATCAACCATTAAAGTTTTTGACACATTAAAGCGATAAAGAAACATGCATAGCCGCAGGAAGTTTATCTGGGGGACGCTGGGGGCGGGGCTTGATGTTGCAGGGCGGGGCCGCGGTTAAACATCCCATACACATAGATGAACATACAAAAATTAATTAAGTCAGAGTTAAATGAGAACGAATATATATTTGTGCTATGGAAACATGCATGGATGGGAAAATACAGCGTGGAAACTGCTTAATGTGAAAATATGGTGAACACCAGGGCTGCGTTCAGCCCCGACAAAAACGGTGCAAAACGTTTTTTAACGGAAACGGTGGTGCGTTGAACACCCTGTTCTGATGACGCAAGAGTTGCAACTATGGCAGCTGAGAAGGCCGTTCTTTGTGTTCTTTTTGAAGAATTTTTGGAGCCTGATGAAATCGGTATAAATACGTGTTTAATACTGCAAAATACAC